GGGGCCCACTTAAAGCGCGGGAAGCACTTGTCCTCATCCTTGGCTGCACAGAGGTACTGCCTAGAGAATTAGAACCTTCTGATGCTGAGGTCACACCCGCAGAGATTCTGACTTTTCACTGGTTTGCAAACTGACTGACCCAGACGCTGCGGACTGAGGGCCCCCGGGTGACTCTCCGGTGCAGGGTGTGTGAGTCGGACGTGAAGCACCGGCACAGGGCCGCCACTGTGTGCCACTGCCCACCTGCTACCATCAGACAGGCGGGGGCAGGGATGCAAACTGGGCGTCACCGGGAGGGGCAACCAGGAACATTAAAGATAAAATAGATGAGGAAAAAAAAGTGAGGAAGCATACCAACAACAGACATTGCCCACGGATATGAACGAAGACTCAGTGGTTTCTTATTTTTCCAAAGAAACCAAGGCTGCATTTTGTATGGGAAAAGTCTCAGTGTTTAAATGTGGACTCTTCTATTTTTAAAAAAAAAATTACAAGAGGGCTGACATGATTGGTGCATTTCTGTAATCGCAGTACTTGGGAGGCTGAAGCAGGAGTATCATAAATTTCAGGCCAGCCTGAGCTATGTAGCAAGACCCTATTTCAACAATAAATAATAGATAGATAGATAGACAGATAGTAACAGTGTCTGACCCATACACAACACATCTTTGGGCCTGGCAAGCTGACTTCACTCTGGCAATCCATGGCCACCGAAAGAGGCATGGCACCCAACCATGACCGAGGGTGGAGACCACAAGTTCACCTGGTGGGAAGCGAGCCGCCTGCTCATCCTCAGTGCCCGAGGAACACGATCCGCTTGTTCCAACCAGCCCGGGGACACAGAGCTTGTTTTTTCCTTGCCTTTCAGGGCGACATAGCTTGATCTATACCTGGCATCCTGTGCAAGGCACAGAGCGCCAGGAAGTGCAGATTTCACAGCTGAGAGGAGAGCGGGCAGCCGGAGGAAGTGGGCGGAAAGGCGGGTTATAATGTATCAGATGAGAAACCTGGCAGCTCGCTCTCCGGGTTTGGTTTTTTTCTCGTTTGTTTTTCTGGCCAAACGAAAGCACCGCTGAGAGAGTCAGCACCCTCTGTTTTTGGAAGGCCTGAAGCCATCTGAAATGTCTTTCAGGGTTAAACCTGGCTATCGAGATAAACAGCCTTGCTCTTTGTCTTCTCTCACTTCAAACACTTTTTAGGAGAGGAACGATCTGAAATGCTCTCAGGCAACTGGCACAATGGGAGTAGCTGGGGAAGTGGCAATTAGGGCAGTCCTGTTGCCAAGGAGAGGAGAAAAGGAGAGAGGGAGGGGAGGGGAGGAGAGGGAGGAGGAGGAGACCATCTCAGTTTACTCCCCACTACCCGGCCGCGTGGTCTCCCGGCGAATCTCTCACTGCGAGCCAGTGGGATGCAGCTATTCCGTGACCAAAGGCCCAGGTTAGGTGAAGCAATTCAGTTGCAACCTGGGTGCTGGTCTCTAGCTTGGGCGCTTAACCCAGGTGGCCTGCAGGCCTGTACTTCCTCCTGTCCTGACCCTTCCCCCTCAAAGACTCTGTAGGGAGACAGGCAAAGGGAGAGGGAAAATCCACCCAGATTGGTCTCTAGATTGCCCACCTGGGCTGACGTTGAGACCTTCTCAGCACCGAAGTTCCTCAGCTGTCTCTCAGCCCATCCCCGGCGGGTGGGCTGACAAAGGAAAGCCCACACTGGCTGCTCTGGCTGCAGCAGAGAAAGGAGCAACAGAAGTCAGGGACAGGCTCGTGGTCATGGCGAGGCATACAAGGCCTTTGCAGCCCCTGCTGGGAGCCGGGGCAGAGGAAGGCACTGCCGTGACATGCGAGGAGCAAGAGCCAATCCTGCGGAGAGCTGTGCGCTCCTGGACCCAGCTGAGCCCGACAAACTACACCACCCTGCAATCAAAGAACTAATGTAAGAGCTGATGAATTTCAGGACTGCTGGAGCCATACACCTTCGTCCCCCTAAGTCTGCACGCCCATGTGCCACTAAGTAAGACTCGGGTTTAAACTCCCAGGAGCTTTGACTTGATCAAAGCGCCCGGTGGTAACTCATGGGTCTTTGCTACCATGTCCCGCCCCAGTTAAGGGTCTGATCTTGCAACTTTCCTTACTCACTTCTCTGGACTTTGACCATATTGCTTCCTTAGCCTGGAAACTCACACTCACCCTTCAAGGCAAAGCCTGCACCTCATCTTTTTCTTGCATTTTTCCCTCTCCTCATCTTTTCTGAAAAGGCTTTCTTGATACTACTGGAAGAGTTAGGTGCACTGGATTTTTCTTTTTTGTGGTGCTAGAGATTGAATCCAGGGCTTCGCCCTTGCTAGGCAAGCACTCTACCACTGAACCATGTCTCTGTCCCTTTTTATTTTATTTTCAGATAAGTCTTGCAAAAGTTGCCCAAGGCTGGCTTCAAACTTGTGATCCTTCTGCCTCAGCCTCTAGAATACACGGGATCACAGGTGTGCACCCTGTGCTGGGCAAGTGGCCTAGTTTCTGCATCACAACCCCCATCTTTTCTGTCCTGTGATGGCGCTTAGCCTGCCGCATTGTGATGAGCCTGTTGTACAGAGCAGTGTCTCACCTACCCTTACGCCGGCACTGAGCAGGCAGGCTCAAAGGGTAGATTTCAAGAACAGTCCTGGGTGAGGGCCATAGCTCCGGGGCACAGCACCTGCCTGGCAAGTGCAAGGTCCTGAGTTTGATTCCCAGTACTAAAACAAAACAACAACAAAAAAATGGAAACTATCAAGAACAGTCTGAATATTTAGCAGCATTTCCCCTCAACAGGTGAAGCCTCTTTCCCCACCCGCCCCCTGGACACAACTGAGCCTGACAAATGTCCTTTCGATTTAAAAAGAGACAGAAGGCAGGAGAGACACTGCTCACTGTTGTCCGCGCAGGACCTAAGAGGTCCTGCAGCTGCCACTCTTGTGCTCCTGAACCCAAAAGCATCATGTGGGCAAGCCTAGCTCACTCGCTGGAGGATGACAGGGAACGGGAGGAGACCAGAATCACCCTGACGGATGTCCTGCCAGGTGCCTGGTGGCATAGCAGCCAACTGCCACACACGGGGGAGTCCCAGCTGAGAGCAGGAGAGCCTGGGCCATCAAAACGGCCCAGGGAAACCCAAACTGCCGATGCACGGACTCAGGAACTAAACACATGGTTATTGTTTTCACAAACGGAAGTCTGGAGTCATGTGTTACACAAAGCGAACAGACAGGCTGAAGAAGAGCTCGTTATGACAAGTGACACAGGGGTGACAAGTCTTTCTGCCAGTTACCACTTCATCCAGGATTCCAACCCGGAACTCAGGAGGAAGAGAGGAGGAGGAGGAGGTCTCAGAACCCTGAGTCACCACCCAGAGCCCCCAGGAGCTTGCGATAGAGTCACCTCCTCCCGTCCCTCAGCAGAGACACATTTACCTCCTTCTGCCGTGAGCAGGGCCGGCTTTTCTCAGCCTTTCGCAGAGTCTGACCTGTGGCAGTTCAAAAGCAGAAGCAGACATTAAGGCTGTTTTGGAACAGCGAGTTCATCACCGCAAAAGCTTTTTATTTGCAAACTGAATAGACAGGACCAATCATAATCAAATGATTTTAAGAAAACGTAGCCCATTATTATAATGGGAAAACGGCACACATTTGAGATAGACCAATGGCAAGGAAAATGGTAATTCATGCACTCACGTTATTTGACTATAATGAACAAAGCTCCAGCCCTTTAATCTGGAACATTATCTGCACTCTGAAAGGGCTGACGGACTGAAGTTTTCCCAGTCGAATTACATTTCTATTAAATTGTTTGGAATGATATAAAATGCCTTCCACAAAAATGCCTTCCACTGTGCGCATACACATAAACGCTGAGGAGTGCGCACCAATGCGCTGCACCAAACCCCCATCTCACGGCACAGGTGATGGTGCAGGTGTGAATTAGCAGTAATCACCCACATTTCACATAATGGGCAATTTCAGAGAGAATTGTTGCTTTTCTCAGGAAACCTGAAGACTAACGTTTGAAAGTATGCATAAATTCAACGGAGAGACATCATAATGTTTAAATACGCTGTTCCAAATGCAGTTTTCACAACTTTTATGGATTGTCCACTATAAAAGAATTCCTTGATGGAAGATTAATAGACTGCTATGGTTCTAAAATATAAAACTGGAATCACTGTATATCGTCAATGGAGCTCCTAAACTGCCCAATCTCACTCCCAAGTGGGGGTGAGAATGTCACAGCCACATGTCCCAGTAGGTAGGAGCACTCAGAAGGCAGGAGCAAGAGTGACAAAGTAGCTGGGGGCAAGAAATGGGGACCGAGCCTCAGGGGAAAGACCTTTGTCTTTAGACTGGTCACTTCTGCGGGTATACACCTGTGAGGAGCAGAGAAGAGATCACAGCTGGTGATAAAGCCCAAGGGAGGATCCTCTCGCTGTCCCTTGGACTGGGAAAGTAGCAACAGGGAAAGAGCAGAAACGCAAGGACGAACCTCTGGTTAACAGGCAAACTGGGGCCAACAAAGAAAAGGACTGCGAAAGGAGGGCAGCTGGAGAACGTGTAGGAGACTGTGAATTGTAAGGTATCATGGTATGGTGGCTATCTTTTTAGTTATCTGATGCTATAGTTTGCATCTCAATGGACCCCAAAGGTCCATGTGTCAAAGGCTTGATCCCCACCCCCATGATGCTGTTGGAGGTAAAAGAACATGAAGAGGTAGGGCAGAGTGGAAGGAAAATGGGTCACTGGGAGTGTGCTCTTGTCGGGGACTGAGAGACCCTGGTCTCTTTCTTTGTCTTTCATTCTGACCATGAGATGACTGGTTTTGCTCTACTATGTACTCTCTCCATAACGTGCTGCTTCATCACAGGCCCAAAAGCAATCGGCCAACTTACCATGGACTGAAAATTCCCAAACAGTGAACCGAAATAAACCTTCTCTCGTTTTATGTTGATTATCTCAGGCATTTATCACAGTAAGGGAAAGCTAACAACACTTCTGCTCAGCTCACAATGACACTCTAAAGTCCCTTCTGGTTTTCCCTCCTCCCTGTCCACTGGGCAGGACCTCAGGCAGTCACGACTGTACTTCACCCTGTGCCCCAATCCTCAACGCTGTACTGGGAATGAAGCCCTGCTCCAGCCACAGCCAGTCAAAACCCCAGCCCAGGAATATGGAAATGGTTTGAGACAGAGAAGAGAGTGGGATAGGGCTAACCCCATGTGCAAGCTGCGATTCTGTGAGGAGCCACCAGGCACCTGCTTTGAGACAGGATAACAGGACAGAAGGAACTGACCTGAAACTGACCACATACCTACCTTTGTGATCAGGAGACACTCAGAACCACTCACTCTGTGCTTTGTTTTTCACCGTAAGACAAAGAACCTAAGATTCAGGGGTGAGAAAGAGGCCAGAACAGTGTGCCACGGTGCTGTGGGGTACTGACAGTGGGGAAGGTTGCATGTGGGCGCCGGGGATATTTGGGAACTTCGTACTCTCTGTTCAGTTTTGCTGTCAGCTTAAGACTGCTCTAAAAATAAAGTTTATTAATTTAAACACATACAGGATTTAGGGGTCAGGAGATCTGGCCACTGGCTCAAGTAGATCACGACCTCCTGAAGCCTATGCTGTAGGGCACGAACTAAGAAGAAGGACTCCTGGAAACCCTCAGCTACACCTGCCCTGGCTGTCAGCCCTCAGGCTGGCCAGAGACGTGAGGGGCACCAGGTAATCAAACAGTCCACACAATGCAGAGTGGGAAGGTGGGACAGAGCTGGAAGGGACAGTGCAGGCTGGAGGCCAGGGCTGCTAATTAATAACATCTTAGCTCCGAGGCAAGTGAGGTAGTGGAGTGCTCAGCAGGGACCAGAGCAAGGGTAGGGAGAAGGGTAGGGCGCAGAGCCAGTCCAGGGACAGACAGG